ACAAGCACTTGGCTACCAACTCAACCCCTCCTTGACTTTTTTATTTCTCAAGGCTCCATCTTGACGAAAAGCCACAACTGCGTTCTTCGTCCGCGCGCCCGACGCTCCCGCTGTTCCGCCAGGGGCCGGGCAGGCGGCAGCCTCCGCCCCGGGCCGCGCTGGAGGCAGGGTTTATTTTTAAATGATATTATATGCAGTCGAGTGTTGAAAATGTTGGAACAGTCCGATTTGTTTTCACTCTGTATTAGTTTTAGTTTCAGGCGTAGCCGATCCCCATTCAGGTGCTATCAGATGACCAGTTACTGCTTAGTTAACTAGATGTAAAGTTTTACATATATATTAATGTCAATAGTTTTATTACAAGTTGTGTAAAATGGACTCTCTAGTTTAAAAAAAGAAGAAAAAAAAAAAGAAGAAAAAAAAATTAGGTCTCTCCTGAAATTGACTTTAGAGCATGGAAAATGATTTTACTGGATTCTGTTCAACTGTAATCAAGGAAAAAATATGTATGTTGTAGAAAAAGTTGCAGAATTAAAAAAAAAATCTGCTTTTAATTTATTCTTTTTGTATTAAGAATTTGTATAGTTACCTTTACATTTTGCAAAACGGTGTTGTCAACACTTCCTTATTAAAGCATTTTCAAAATGAAACCTTGCAGTGGTCTGTTCAGGAGGGCACGACGCCTGGGGAGCCCTCACCCCGGCCACTGCACCGCCGCCTTGGCGAGACGCTGGTCCAGATGTGCACACAGCTGGCCAGGGTTTCTGGGAGGGACCCACTCCTCTGCTGTCAGGGGGCCCGAGTGCAGGAAACCACAAGCGTTTCCCCCCCTCCAAAAAGCCCAGAGATCCCTTGGGATTCAGCGCTTGTGCTCAGCAGATCCCTGCTGGCTCCATCGCGTGTCCTCTCTGGCCTCGGGGGTGCGGGCGGTGTCTCAGGCACTGACTGACATCCCACCACAGCACCACACAAAGTCACAAAACCACTCTGGAGTTCTAACGCGTGTAACGTGAAATATCCAAAATTAACACTCGCTTGAGCGAATTGGCTGCCGAGGAGCCACAAGGCTGCCTGCAGCGGTGCCAAGGTCCATAGGATGGGCTTGGGTGCCAACGCCCACCCCGGTGCTCCTAGGAACCACCTGCTTGTTGGGTTAAATTCCTGAAGAAACAGGCAGCAGCAAGAGAACACACCCCGAGACACTGCTCTTGCCCAGGAGGGGCTTTGCCACAGCCCAGCCCCTGCACGGGGCTCGGGATGCCACTCAGTGTCACCGTTTCCCCCTCCGTGGGCAGCGGTGACCACTGCAGCCACCCAGCTCCCCTTCCAAAACAGCCCACAGTTCCACACAGCCACACGCTCTCCAAGCGTGACCCATCCGCACTTCTCAGTGCCCAGCACAGTTGCTTCCTGTCCTTTCCATTCATTCCCACTGTCCAGGAAGCTCCTTTCCACTGGAGCATCTCTTGTATCATCCACACAATCGCCCCTCCGCACCACAGGAAGCCATCAGTGCCACCAGCCCGGAGCCACGAGGCCACCCTGACCATCACCCAGCACTGCTGCGTGAGGGACAATCAGTAAATCTCCAAAAAGGAGGAACAGGACAATAGTAGATCTCCAAAAAGGTTTGGGATAGGACAAAACGGCAACGATGAAATTTTTCAGACACCCCCCTAACTCTGGGACTTTGGCTCAGACTTGTTGCCAGTGGCTCCAATGCTGCTGCAGGCACCTCTTCAAGCTCTACAACCCATGAGGAGCAGCTTTCCTGACAGCCTGCTCCAGATGTTATGCCAGTGTCAACACCCTTGCGCCAGCCCTCTCGGAGGGCACCGCGTCACATACTCATCCATCAGGTCCGGGAGTCGGGGCGCTCTCCTCCCCCTGAGAAATGAAGTAATTTACATCTCAACCAGGTTCATGCTTCGGGCAAGACAGGATCCATAAGGGAGACTGTATGGCAGCTGGCAGGAGAGGAACCTCAATCCTCAATCAAAATAAACTGATCCCACCTATACCTACCCTAAGAGCCGTTCCAGCCGTGAAGACAAACAGCAAACAAGGAATTAAAGGCATTTAACTACCACCAGGCACGATAATACCGATACAAGGCAGATGGTCACATCCTTTGAGAGCACCACCTCGCACAGCCCCTTCCACCGCCCAGCTAGGGAAGGGCTCGGGGGCTCCAACAAATGACCAGAGGCACCAAAGACCAAAAAACCCTCCAGACATCGCTATGGTGAACGCATGACTTCGTCCTGAGGCTGCAAGTCTTTGGATTCAGTGGAGTTCTTTCCGCCTAATGCAAGAATTATCAGAAACAAACATCTGGAGAAGCCCAGAGGCAAAAATCTAAACCGCTGAACTGAAACATATACTCCCCGCAATAACTGTGGAGCAGCGTGACAGCTGCGCCACACCCACTCATCCCTAAACTAGACTCGGGTGGGTTTGGGATGTTTTTTGGCTAAAAGGCATTATTAACTATTTGATCACGGTCTGGTAGCTGTAATTTGGGGCCATCCAGCTGCAAAGAGCCTCCAACCGATGATGAAAAGCAGCTGCTGTAACAGTGTCCCCCCCCTTGTGATCCCCCACGGGCCGGAGCTGGCTCTCACACGCCGGACAGCTGGAAACTCTTACAGAGATATGCCGTGAGAAAGTACTTCTCAGTTCCTCAGTTCCCTGTGCAGCACCATTCCATGAATTGCAAGGGGATAAAGTTCTTCCGTCATGGGATTCATTCAAGCGAGGCGGCTGTATTTCAGGGTCTGTCAGCAAGGAGGCACATCGCTTAAACCACATTCTTTAAAACCTGATCAGACTAAAACATTCCAACCCCAAATTCACATCCCTACAGGAGGTGCATCCCCACTCAAACCAGTGCTCAGGGTACCATCAAAACTCTCAATAATTAGCTCTAAAGCAAGAGGAAAAAAAAATAAAATCCATCTAATACTATTACAGATGCCCTAAGGAATTCAGTTCCCTCTAAAGCAGACGTTACAATGCTCCTTAAACCATCCCCTGGCTACTCGCTTGCTGCGCTTTCCAGGGAAATTATGGCTCTTCTAAACGAGTGACAATATTGTCCCTCAATTATTTAAAGAGTTCAAAACGAAGGTCAGGACAAAGATTTAGAAATAGCTCAGGAAATCATCTGGGTGGGGAAAGGGATAAAGTTGCGGTGTTATAAATGTTTCCTGTTGTAATGATTCCTCCAAAGAGTACCTGCAGAGAACACTGCAAAAAAATCACCAGACCCCGCTGTTAATGAAACTCTTCCATGCTCTCGACATCTGCCCAGCGTCTCCCCACAAATCCCGGTCTATTCCCCAAAGGCCCCTCCCCAAGCACCAGTTAGGGCTCGTCAGCCTCATTTTTATTACTTCTAAACTGTTTAAGCTCTTGACATTTTCTCTGGGGTCAGACACTCCGGGCTAAAAAACTCCTGTGTCCGAAGAACAACTCGGAATCCACAGTCTCCAGAAGAACCTGAAGGAAGATACTCCTCCAAACTCAGTATCGTGTCTCACTGTGCCACGGGACACCGTAAATACCCACGGGAGACAGGCAGCTCCTTCAGAAGAGGGCACTGGCTCCTGCTCCATGCTTCCAGTTGAGGTGAGGACTCAGGCGAACCAAGACACTTGAATATTGACACATTTCTTCAGGAACGGTTCTGCTCCCGTCCTCCCAGGCCTACCACTGCGGCAGCTTACCTCCTTGTTCCCCTTTTTAAAAATGGGGGTTATGTTCCCTCTCTTCCAGTCATAACAGATACCAGATTCAAACACCTGCCTGAATCCCATAGCGGGCAGCCAGGAGGAGACCCTCCCTCTCCACTGACCGCAAAGAAAAGGATTCTCCAGAAGCAGAGGAGTGGGCTCTGTATCAGCTCTACTGGAGCTGTGGGGCCAGGCAGATGTGAGGTCTGGGCTGTCGCAAACGTGGGCAGTGACAGTCATTGGCAGCCACTGCAACCATCAACAGTTCATTTGGAGCTTCACTGCAGGTCCTAGCAAGGCCTCGTTAGAAGGAGGACACGTTACTACCGCTGCAGAGGTACTGCTGTTCTTGTAATTGAAAAAAGTGCATTATTTCAGCCCAAGACTTTCAACCTGCACCACTAACAGAAGTGTCAATATTCCACCGTTTACACAGAATTAAACATCATCGTTTCCGTGAGTTTCTTCACCATTCCCAGTCAAGATGCACAATGGTAAAGATTTGTGGCTGCTAGAAATACTGTTTGTGGTCATGGGAGGTCCTAATTATTTTCTCTGCAATGCCCAGCAGACTGAAATTTTCTCCAGATGTATAAGAATGGGATTTGAAAGCCTCAAGAGCCATAAGATTACTTCCCTCAAGCCCAGAAGGTTTATATTAAAAATGTCGTTACCCAAAAAAAAATAAAAAAGCCAAATCAGATGCATTCAAGATCAAAAACTCTTTGCACTGAGGCTGGCTGTATTTTTCAGCTGAGAAATATATAAACCTTTTTTTTTTTTTCTCCTGATAAATACCACATGAAAGATTAGCCAATAAAGTCTTTATATTTACAGAAATAACCAAAATTCAGATTCAACTGCTTCCCTCTGATCATCTCCCCACATCAGCCTCCAGTGGGAAAGCAGCCAAAAAAAGCTCCGCGTACGCTCCTCGAAGGGCTGAGTCTCACCTAAAGCTCCAAGATGTGGGAAGCAGTTCGGTCTGAATGGTTCCCTGAATAACAAACCGAAACAAAAGCAAGGGTCACGTCCATTGTCCCCTGGCCACCGTCCTGGTCGTAACCCCTTCGAAGCCATCCCCCCTCTGCTGTACGGTGCATGTGTTCAGCGTAACGCGTAGATTCAAAAGAAAATCTAAATAAATGGGGCTTGTAAAAAGGAAGCTGCAGAAAATGTTCTGCTTCGTGCTTTTTCACGAAGCCCACCCTAGGTTCCTGCTGGGGTCAAGGCACAAACTCTGTCCCTTCAATCCTTCCTGGGTCTTGGAGATCAAAGTATGAGCCACGCCTTGGACGCCGCAGAGCCTCATAAAGCGTTGTACTCCACACATTTCGATGGGTCTGTCGGGAAGTGCTTCTGGCAAATGGTCATGAGTCTCTTCAGCCCCTAGGAATCAGCAAAACAAGGACAATTCTGTAATAAAACTGCAGCTGTCAAAGAAACTTCGCAGTCTACAGTATTTTTAAGATTAACAAGAAGAACTAAAAGGAAAAGGCTGCTCTTTTGGGGTTGGGTTGGGGGTTTTTTGGTTGTTTTTCTGGTTTTTAAGTTTTATTAACCTTTCTCCCTGCAAAGTTATCTGCAAAATTAGAGGAGTCTGTGGCATTACCAAAGAGACTACAGACCCAGTCCCACGTGCTAGATTCATAGTGAAGAATCCCAGTCGTGCTTGAATCCTTCTACATCACCAAGGCACAACACGATACTATCACAATAAAAGATATTTAAAAGAAACCTGAATATTAAAAATAATTCTGAAGAGCAAAAAGCAATTTCTGACACCAAAACAAGCTGCACAGCTAAGCAAAGAACCAAACAATTGCTCGGGAGGAGAGGTGTCATTCCTCCCCAAGGTGGTACCACACCTGACCTACACCATGGAGGCAAACTGAAGAAGTAATCAAGAAGAGAAGCAGAATGGGGACTTTTCTCTTCAGTTCTTTCAAGGCATCGATTGCCAAAACAACAACAGGACAGAAACCCTGTGATTATCTTCTTCCGAGTCACGCAGAAAAGTCTAACAAAGAGAGAAGGAAAACTGCTGGGTGGTAGTGTAATTTAGCCATGACATGGTACTCCAAGATGGCAGAGTCATGTGCTGTCATTAGACACTCATTGGGGAAGCCAGACGGCTCCTCACTGAAGGGAAAAATGATTCAACAGAGGATGCTTTGGCCTTTGCAATGCAAGCAAGTCTGGAAAACGTGTCCTAGAAGCTTAATGACTCCTTGTTTGGGATGTTATGATCCCAGGTGCGTTGTAAATCAGAAACGCGTTAGCTTGACGTAACTGCTGGGAGCACAGATAACGTTCCATGCTCCAGTTTGAACCAGACCAGCTGAACAAGACCTGGTATTTACAGCCTACACAGAGAACACACATTTAAAGCCAGCTCTGTCTTGGTGGTTCGTAAGTTGCGTACTTCAGAAGCACAGATACAAAATTCGCAGTGGGAAAATGAACACAAGATCTCCTTGCTCAACAGAAGTACCCCCAAAAGCAGAGAGGGGACAAACTGAGGAATTCATATACGTTGTATCTTCCAAAGGGTATGTAAAAAAGAGATCAAGCAACACTACAGAGCAGAGATCCTTCTGCTAGAAAAGTGGCAAATGGACACAGCCAGCCAATTATTCACCAAAACTGGAGAAGCAGCACTACGGCCATGCTGAGGCCTTTAACATAGGCTAACAACAAAATTATTTAGTTTAACACAAGCTATTTCATCCATTAAATACTTTCAAGCAAGTATTACACTAACTGGAGCCTGTCCACATGCCAATTTTCAACTTCCAAAAGAATCGGTTGAATTTAATTTGCTGGCTCTGTAAGTGTCTGGAGCTTCCTCTGACTTCACGATGATATTTCAGAGGTTATGATATTAAAAACTACAGTTTCAGAGAAACCAAAGGTTATACTTTTAACCCCAATACAAAGAGACTCAAGGTAGAAAGAGAAGCTGCATTTTGCAAGTTATCTGCTTGCAGATATCTGCAGAAGTTGAAAAGCAACGGGAGTCCTGCTGCTGCAGCAGGAAGACACTTCTGTAAACCTGCCCTGACAGAAGCTATGAGCTCCATGATGCTGCTCTGCAGGCTTCAGAGTCAACCCTGAAGGTCTTTATCTCAATGAAACTGCAACTGGCAAGAGGCAAAATACATTCACAACACACGGAGAGAAGACTTGTTTCCTCAGACCTGTCCACCCACTACGCTGAAAGGTCAGAGAAGACAGACACCACTGCTACTAATTCCACAACCAAAAGTTCACGACATGAGTATGAATATGCACAGGAGGATCTAAACCCAGAATTCTGAGCCCACATTGTTGAAGAGACATGTTTGAAAAGTGACTGCATTTATCTAGTTGCAAAAACAGTCAGAAGGACTGTATTTCACGTATGAAATTCCAGGTATGATGTTAAAACCATGAGTTATGTAGTAAAGGAACTCGGGAGAATAAAGCATGTTTTCACAGCTACTTTGATGCTCATATAGGATCACAATAGTCAAGACGTAGAAAAATCCATTAAACTCCATTCCTAGCCCAGCACCAAAGAGCCTTCACGTCCACGATGAGCTACCTGTTAAATGGATGTTATGCTTGACCCCAACTAATGCAACTGTCCCTTCTAACATCACCTGCAACCATGAAACTAATATTTTTCCAAGATCTCCTAACTTCAAAAGGAAATTTGTTAGATTTCCAAAGCTAACGTTACCTGAATATATTTCCTTTGAGTTTCGTCGTTGAGGACGTGGGCGACGTGCTTGGAGAAAATCTTCTCACGACCCGTTCGAGCGTGGATGCCAACCATAGTGACCCCGATAGGCCAGGGAGCGTTTCCAATGGCCATCTGAAGATAGGCATCGTTGGCCTGAGGACACACAGGGCACACGAGACAGAAAGGGCGTCAGACAGCAGCGTTTTTGCATTGCCAGGTACAGTAACAACACACACTCCAGCCTCTCTGAACCAGGTTTCGTCGCACAATATTAATCAATTTTACACCACATCTTCCTAACGTGACCGACACTCGTGCTGAACTCCAAGGGAAGCAAGGACTACGGACTTCATAGGGCATACAAGGTGGTCCTGGACAAGGCAGTCTAATCACATTGATTAGAACTGAAGTTATCTGGGACTGTTTTCAACCCAGTGCTTCCAGGTTCCCATAAACTCTTTTGCTGTGATCACCTTTACGACCCTCGCTGCCTGGGTTGCAGACCAGACCAGGGAGCCTGGCTGTAAGGGCAGCCCGCTGCCGACACGTCGCGCGCACAGAACACAAGTGTCCTGGGGCCTGACGGCTCTCAGGGAGAGGAGCCAGCTTCCAACGGGGCTGAGAACCAGCTCTCTACAAAACTAGGTTAAATAGGCACATTTGTAACAATGTTCATGAATGGAGCAGCGGTAAATGAACCTGAAATTTCCCTATCAAGACAGCAGATCCTGTTTCTTAACACAAAGCTGTGGCAGACAACATCCCTGGCAAAGAACAGCAATAAAACATGAAGGGAAAATTAACAGAAAGAAAGGAAGAAAGGAAGAGAAGTACAGAACTTAAAAAAACATGACAACTGAGAACCAGGAAGCGAGGGGGACAGACACATATACACAAACAGCTTCACGAATGACTTGGAGCAAGACACTCCTCCACTGTTAGCGAGCAGCTACAAGACTCACTGATCAGAGTTCATTTATCGTCTCCCATTTAGAGACTAAACAACAAGAAGAGCAATCAGGACCAGTGGGTGCAGTTTCTTCCCATTTGGCAATAAGCAAACTGGGAGGTGAATAATGAGCAAGGCAGGGGGTTGCAGACAGAGCTGAGAGTAAACCTGAAGAAGAAGCAGGACTTAGTCTTCACCTACACAAGGCAGGATCTGAACGGTCTTAGTCAAACACCTACTTACTGACTTCAATATGGTTTTGTGATGAACATAGTATGCGAGCTTGCAATTAAAGATCCTTCCAGGACTGCCCCAACAGGGTTAATTAAGGCTGAGTGGACAGCTTGTATTCTGGCATTTGCCTACTGTCACATGTCGATTTCAAAATTTAAATCTTTAGAGCATTTCATCTAACAAAGCAGTTAAGAATTTGTGGCTGGCTATCCACTAGGCTGCACAAAGCAAAAAAAAGCACAGAAGATAACAGCAGACAGAAAGAGACAAGTCTCTCAGGAAGCAAAATGGAAAATTATATGAGTATCTTAAAAAGCATAATGCTGATTAGCCTAATCAAGAAAAAAAAAACCACCAAACTTCCAAATGTGCACTCAACCCCTCCTCTCCTGTAAACTGTGAAGTTTACGAAAAGCCAAGCACCTCCGGAAGCGTGAAGCACAGCTGAGTAACCCATGAGACACACCGCATTTCCGCACTCACTGCTCTGTTTGGGAACGCATCGGAAAGAGAATTTCAGTATAAGGATGATGACCAAAAGAAAAAACAATGCCCCAAAACAAGACCCCACTCTCACACATTCCACACTTTCAGTTCCACTTTCAATGATTTGGATTAAACTTGCCTTAGGCCACCTGAAGTTTCTCCAATAACAACAGCAGGCCTGCTTGCTTACTTGACAAATTATCACAAGAATAAGAAATACTAGAAATTTAAAGGCAAAACACGGCTCGATTTCCTCTGCATACACAAGCTGCTTAAGCAAACGCTACGTTATCTGAGTTCCACTTGTGAAGGCAGCTACCAACAAAACCCAACACTGCCTTTGATCTCATGTGCCAAAGTACTTCTGCCTCCTCCAGTGAGCAGGCTTTGTCCAAAAAACTCTTCATTGACTTACCTCAACCTTACCAGGTGAGCTCATGTGAGCGTAGCTAAAGAAAGGGACAGTATCTCATATTCAGTAACTCAGCTCACCTCAATTAATTCCCAATTAATTAATCAACACCCTATTACTATTAATTCAATACCTTCATTTAACCTTACAATATCAGGTTTCCCATTCAAGGTTCCTCTGCAACTTAATATAACCATCTCTGAGAAAAATTCTCTTTGTGCTTGCAAAGCTCTGCAATTTCACCAACCTCAAAAGATCTTCTGACAGGCTCTGGATCAAACACTACCTGGAGCCTAACCTTTAATAGCCTTTTCTCATTTTGTTTGAATACATGTTATGTGTATTTCCAGCTACGTATATTCAAAATCAAAAAAAAAAAAAAAGGGGAATGTTGAAGTAATAAACCCAATCTATTAGAACCAGACAGCCTGAACATGCCAGAACAGTGCAAATAAACATACCTTCACATATTCTCTTTGCAACATGAATTTAATAATATCTGTTATTGACTCTTTGATGTCGGCAGGAAGTGTCTACAGGAGAAGAAGAAAAAAAAAAAGACATCTTTACTTCAGAGTAGCAGCTCAGGAAAATCATCTTACTCAGCATTTATACAAAGTTTCACACCTACCCTCGCTTGAGGACTTTGCAAAGGAAAACATCTTCGTTATTTAGATGAAGGTTCTGAAGCAAGAGAGGTTAGGTGGATACACCTAGTAGCTAGTGGCAAAGTGCCAAATAAAACCCCAATTATGTACCACGTTTGCAACCCAATGAACAGGCGATATGTAAAGCAACACCTGGAAAAGCAGTGGGTAGGTAGAAGAATTCACTGGTCAAGATTAAAAGGTCAGAACTGGGAGTCATGGGCTCTGACCAACTCAGCCTCTCTTCTTCAGTGAAGATACCGTTCCCTTAGGAAAGGGCACGAACCACTGGGTACTTTGAAAGCAGAAGTTAAAGTAAGTCTTACAGGATAGTGACATTTAAAAGTGATTCACCCTTTTCCGAAGTTTTCTGAAGAGAGGCCTCAGGTACGACTCCGTCTGCTTTTGAGTAGCACTGTTCAGCTTCCCCTGGACTCCCCGTTTCACATAGTCTTCTCTGGCATTCAGCTCCTTAGCCCAAACTCCTAGAAGAAACTGTACGAGGAACAAGCAAATTTATATCATAGTGCCATCTAGTGACTTCCTCGGCAAAGCAGATGGGAACAGCGGTTTTAGTCACCACGGCTAAGTGAGGTTTTCAGAGAAATCTGAATTAAGAAGGCAAGAAGTTTCCTTCAGAGGGATAGGCAAGGAGGATGTGAACAACTCTGCTATCATAAAAACACGTGAGCAAGGGAGGAGCATGTCCAAATAGGCACGTAGAAGGAAATTACAGAGCAGGTATCAGTGCTGGGACGAGGAGAGGCACATAAAAAGAGCACAAATCCAAGCAGAATGCTGATGTTTCAGGGTAACTTTTGCGAAGGAGCCTAAGGAACAGTAAAGATCACAGTGAAAATTCAACACAATGGGAGGCAAATACATCAAACACACCTTCACTCCACCTGGAAAACAATTTGTGAGCTCTCTTTGTCTGAGTGCCCAGACAAACTATACCAAAATGACAACATATCCGATATACATAAATGAAAGCTTCAACTCTTTACATTAGTGATGGGTGATAGGACAAGAGGAAATGGGTATAAGCTTAGTCAGGGGAGATTCAGGTTGGATGTTAGGAAGTATTTCTTCTCTGAAAGGGTTGTCAGCCACTGGAATAGGCTGCCCAGGGAGGTGGTTGAGTCCCCATCCCTGGATGTGTTTTAGAATAGGGTGGATGAACTACTTAAGGATAAGGTTTAATGGGAGATTAGGGACGGTTGGACTGGATGATCTCTAAGGTCTTTTCCAACCTAGAAATCTATGAAATCTATGAACTCTTGCCATGGCTTCTGATCTCCACAACAGCTATGCAGGGACCGACTGACTCAATGAGAGGCAGCGCAGGCTTCTTGCCAGGAAATAAGGAAACAATTTTCCACCATCTGCTTGAACCTGTTTCCTCAGAAAAGCCAGTGGGCTTCCTTTAAAATCCTCTTATTTCACCTAACAGTACCAGGTGTCGTTTCATTGCAGCTTGCACTGTTCCTGGGGAAGGGAGGCTGGGACTCCTCGGAAGTTTTTCATGTCACAGTAGAATATAGAAGCAACTACATACAACTGCCTCAATTATCATACGGAAATCAAAACCATACTTATTTTGTCTGAAAAAGTAGGCTCAGATTTCGAAGAACACTGCTCTCCCAACAGCTCTCTCCCAGGTCGAGCAGAAGTCACTATTGTGACTAACCAAGGCTGTGGAGTGGCAAGTATTTAAAAAAAAAAAAAAGACAAAACAAAACAAAACACCACATCTTAAACATAGTGTGTGAGTTTTTCCTCTCCAAGCAGCTGAAACCATCCGTTCTGTTCATGAAATGTATCTCCATGACAGGAAAGAATATGACACAGCTACAAATAATTCATCTACTAGACCAGAGTTTGTTACCTTCAAGAATTTCGTTATGATGTCCATATCATAGTGATCATCACCCCGTCCTAAGGATTCTCCCAAAGCCTAGAACAGGAGAAAAAAAGGCTGTTATTCCCACGTTGTCTACTGTCTGCTTCCACCACCACAGCAGAGTATGAGTCACTGCAGTGTAAAGTGCAATAAACTCCACCAGGAATCCAAAAAAATAGGGAACGAATTGAAACAACTATATATGTTACTGAGATTCCTTAATCTATTAAAAACATTTAAGTCAAAAAGCCAATGGGATTATTTCTGAAAAGTCAATGCGACGGTAATTTTTCATTCATTAAATACTAAATTATTGGCATAATTAGCAGCTGTCTGACAGCACTGTAGTAAGGGGAACTGTGGGTGGACTGCATTTTTGAGATCCCCAAAGCCATCAATTAACCTAATTAAGCTATTTCAATTCTCTCATGTACTCGGGCTTCTTACCATTTCATTTAATTGTAACTGTGAAATTGAGGGAAGAATTGTAAAAAAAAAAAAAATCACAAAAAACTCAACACCAAAAAAACCCAATAGTATGCTTCATTCTCTAGCTTCCTGCCAAAACCTCAAAACTGTTAACACTAACAGCATTTTAAGAAACATTATCCAGTAGGTACAGTTGGATTTATAATCTATTTCCATTATCCTCACATTTCCAAAGTGAGTTTTATTTTAAAAAAAAAACGATTAGATTTGGAACCAAATTCAGCATAAGCCTTTATGCTTATCCTCACATTTCCAAAGTGAGTTTTATTTTTAAAAAAATCGATTATATTTGGAACCAAATTCAGTGTAAGCCTTTATGCCCAAGGGAATGCAGCAGAAATAGCACAAAATTCAGACTGCAGTGTTTAGAAACTTTTGAGAAAAGATGGCTCAAATCCAGCCTGCCCTACTACCTCACAAAGAGGAAATTTTGAGAACAGATCGATAACTGCAGGCCCATTACAACTGGTATCCATCCTGGTACAACAGTTATTTCGTACCAGAACCTCTTGGACCCTGACAAAAAAAGCCAAAAGCTATTTCCTAGTAATAATGTATTCATTCAAGCTTTCAGTTATAAATCAGATTATTTCTTAAACACACTCTTGGAAGGATGATATGAAGATTAACTTCTGCAAAGAGTTTTGAAGATTAAGGGCGAAAGTCTCCAGCTCAAGTTAACGTGCTTTTCAAAATTTGACCCTAAAATACCACGTGCCGAACGCGCCTCATGGCACTCACTCACTCACACAGACACTACGACATTCTTTCAGAACACGGTGGCCATTTGCACTGAGGTGTCTGGGACACGTCGTCTCTGCGCTTCTTATATTGCCTAAGATCTACCTACTTCTGATGCCCACTTTTTTGTCCCAGATGTTTTTATATCAAACATTCTTTCTGTATGTCTATTTTTTACAGTCCATCTTTCTCGCATACGCAAAACGCAACGGTACTAAGCTTATTACCTTCTCAAATATTCATTGGGAAGGCTTTAGAATTTACGACCAGCTATTAATTATTATTATATTTTTATTTTTATTAAATTCCCTACTTCCAAATACCCTGTAGAGGGAATCCTAACTGTATCACTTTCTTTGCAGGTAAGTCCTGCCCCTCTTCTGATGAGGTGCTGTAAACAAAGACCACTTGAGTTTTCACACATCCATTGTAGGCACTTATGATGCAACTCAAGGTTTAGAAACCTAAACCTCCTAACAAAGCACATTTAATGAGCTTTCAGAATGCCTAAGTTAGATGTTGGAAACAAGATAACTTTGTCTAAACAATCCTGAAGCTTCCTCACAACAATGTAATAATATAGTACATCTGAAATTCCTCAGTTAAAATCCACCCATCCCATACCTCCAGTTCTTCAATAGTAGTATTCTCCTCATGGACTTTCAAGTCATTCTGAGAGTCATCATCTCCTGCTTCTTGGCCGCCTACAATTTCATTCAGATACTGCTGGTCAATCTTATCCAAAGCAGCCTTCAGGTCATTTCTCAGGCCCTGGAAAAGATAAGAAATGATTAATTTACAAAAAAGACCCACAAACACCCAGCTAAATAAAAGCAGTTCAGTACTATCACAATAAGCAGCCAACTTCTGTTTAAGAAAAGCCAAATTCTCTAAAAACACACATAAAGGTTTAGTTTTGTTGTCTGAACCGAAACTGAATTCAAAGAACAGTTTCTGGATTGCTTCAGCACTTAACAAAGAGAATATAAGTGAACTTGTGCAATGTTTGCACCTATGAACAGGACTTTTATTGTATTTTCACCAGAAAAGCACGGATGATCAAAACAACTTCCAGAACTTTCTTCAAGACATTTTCTCTAAGCAATGCACTGAACGAAACAAACAGAAAACAAATCATAATCATCATTAGTTCTACAGATCTTCACACTTGGTCTGAAAAAAGCTGTAAATAAGTAACACCCCTTCAGTACTATCCCTTGAAACATTTATGTAGCTTCCCCTTATTACCAATTATTTAAACATATCAGAATGTTTTACATACATTAAGTGTTTAAAGTCCCTACTCTAGAATAGGTGATTAAAAAAAAATAAATATATGTTTTCAAACTGATGCTAAAGTTAAGAGTTGCTTTTAAATAGGACAAGAAACTCGGCTTAGTCACAGTTAGAGGATTTACATTCTTATGTTGAGACATAAAATGCAAAGCTCTACAAAGGAGTATGACGTTTCTTATCCTAAGATAAATGGAGCCACTCCACTGGGAATACATATGCACAGTTATTTCCCCTCTTCCATCATCGTAACTTGACTGCTTGGAACTTTTCTATTAATCATTTAGTAGTCTAAAAACGTCTGAAGCACAAACTGGTTGCAGTGACCATCCGCATTTTAGGCGACACATAGCAACAGGAGTGACCGAAACGTGTAACACAATAATCCAACACAATCCTGTTCATGACCTCACTCTTTGCTAATCATCCTACTACTGTCGGCGATGTCACTGGAGGAGAAGCTTTCGTTAGCAGAAGAATTAATTATTATTGTTTTCAAACCTTTAGATCTGTTTATCTTTCTCCAGAAAGACCTGAACAGGAAAAGGCTTTCCTTTTCTGGGCAGCCCCAGCAATGACGTTTCAAACAACTCAGTTTTACACAAATGAGGGAAGAAAATCGAAAACTTTACTCTCTTAGCTGGGTTGCAAATTTGGTTAACAGCGAAGACAAAACAAGCCCAAATTGCATCTTCTCACGTAACTGATCATTCTTAAAAGGCATAAAACGGTAAACTATGATATATCTTTTTTTTTTTATTATATTTTTTTTTTTTGTCTGGAGAAGAGGAGGCTCAGGGGGGACCTTATCGCTCTCTACAATTACCTGAAAGGAAGTTGTAGGGAGATGGGGGTCGGTCCCTTCCCCCATGTTATGAATGACAGGACGGGAGGGAATGGCCTCAAGTTACGTCAGGGGAAATTTAGGTTAGATATCAGGAAAAATTTCTTTACAGAGAGGGTTGTGAAGTATTGGAACAGGCTGCCCAGGGAGGTGGTGGAGTCCCCATCCCTGAAGGTGTTTAAAAACCGCCTGGATTCGGTGTTGAGCAACATGGTTTAGGGACCCTGACAGTGCAGGGTGAATGGTTGGACTTGATGATCTTGAAGGTCTCTTCCAACCAGACGATTCTATGATTTTTAGTCTTTTTTTGAATCAATGGCTATTTTAAAAGGCAAGGGGATTGGAAATTAAGTTTCCCTAACAAGTTATAGCTCTGGAATCAAGGGATTTGAAAAATCATTTATATACTAGAAAGACAGGATGCAGCCCTCCTCTCACTTACCTGCATCTTCTCCAAAACGCGTATAATCACAAACACAGGCTACTTTTCACAGTAAATGACTGTCTGCTCTGCTGGTTAAAAGCAGCTAACAGCACAGGCTGGGGTGTCACTTTCTACCTGGAGGCCCCTCTTTCAACTGGAAAGGGCCTAGAAAGTTCTTAGGGTCGAACTAGCGTAAGGAATTGTGATTGTGCACAGAACTATGACATTTAACATACTTCCTCAGGCAATAAATGAGACACTCAGGCAATAAATGAGACGGAGCACACATTTCTCTTTGCTCTGTACTACCCCTCCCACCCAAAAGTTTCTGAAACTGATTTTCTGTAATCTTTACAGGATTCCTCACTGGTTATCTCACTACAAACAAGTAGCTAACAGCTAGCCAGTCTTACCTTGTTCACTTCAGGTGCAAGAATTTCTATCTTCCTCAGACGCTGAAAAGCATCATAGTCTGTTTCTCCAAACAGTCTGATCGGCTCACCTCTCTCTCGTAACCTCCTGATAACCTGAAAAGAATCAAGCATGCCCTTACGCAAACTCCTAAAGGAAGCAAAATAAAATCCAGAAGGAAGGATTTATTTACTTTGCTTAGAACAACAAGCTGAGCTGGACTGGAGAGGAAACGGCAGTATTTTCAGCAGTAGAAAAATGTTCCAGACACTTTACAATCTAAATATAAAAATCCCACAGTGTTTCAGTGAAAGGTCATTCCAAATATCGCCAATCTAAATTTTGCATAAAACCCCAAGCTGTTTGGTATACTATAACTTCTTCCTGCTCTGACTTGTTTAAACAAATACACAAAAACCATCCCTCTGGCAGAGCTTAAAAACCATTTCCAAAATCACAAAGGAACTTGATGATAATCTCATTCACCTACTTGTCCAGGGCAATAAAAATACTCCCTAACTAGCCTGCAGGTTGTCCCAGCACATCTGCAAGACTGATTTGCTGAAAATTCTCATCCTTAAGCATCTGGCAAATATGAAGTCCCATAACTAATATAATAGTTACTTTAAAACTAGATACAATAGAGGTGTAACATCCTCCTTCGGCCCATTTGCAGTCATGGGCAGAGCCAAAAAATGAACTTTATTCTCCCAACTCCTTATCTCATGCATTGTTCCTAAATCTCTTTATACTCACCGTTATTCATTTAGTGTATTAAGCAACAGGCTCACTGATGTATGAATCACCATGCAATAATTGGGTGATCAAGAAAAGGGCTTACATTTCATTTCATGCCAGTGCTTCATTATACTAATAGACTGATTGGACAACGGGAAACTGAATGAATTGAGACATTAATTCATTTATTCATTTCAAGTGTCGTGCGGGATGTTGGCAAGCATTTGACTTGCAATTGTATCACAAAACCTGGCGTGAACAGAGTGCTGGCACAGCAACACCTAAACCTCAACCAAAACCTGCACCCAAGCAGATCAATAGCACTGAGACAGTGCGCGTTGCACAGGACACACAGACCAAAGCTCAAATCAAACACGAAAACAATAGCCCACACTACAAGTCCTGTGACATACTCCTGTGAAAGAACAGGAATATCGTGCAAAATCAAGGGGATGTGACATCCTTGGATGATCTCAGCCGTGAACTTCAGTATTTCCAAGATCAGAATTTATTCTGTACTTGTGAACTTCCTGCTTCTCTTCTGCTTCAGGGTAGAGTTCTCTTTGTGAACTCACATTCACATAGGTATTTTTATCCTTAGAAAGGACAAAGAACACCCCAGCTGCTTTGGCTTCACGACTTTTTGTTCTAGAAATCAAGCTGAACTTCCCAAACTTAGTTTCTAAATTTGGGTTCAGACCAACGAGCTACAAAGAAAAGAAGCTGAGGGAAAAACTTTGGAAAAAGTCAGCATGCCATCTTCAGTATTATCCAAGGATAACACTGATATTCAGGGTACTCTTTTAGAAGTCATCTGAGAAAGCTGTAAAATGTTACAGCACATCTGTGCAAACCCATATGACAACGAGGCTCTACCCATCTGTACCTCCCTGTGCATTCAGCTGGACAGCAGATCCTTGATAAGAAAAGATGATCATTAATTGCTGACTGTAAAAATGGAGGCTTATTATTTAATACAAACTGCCATAAAAAGTACAGTTCACTAGAAAAAAAAGTCCCGACAAGAAATTTCAGATGCATTTGCATGTGTTTATGATGATAGATTTTACCTCCTGTCTGGAAAGGGTCATTGGTAACTTTTCTTCTGCCAGTTCAAGTTCCAGCACTGGATTTGATGAAGTCAGTGGTTTCTCTTCCTCTTCTTGCTGCTGTACCTACATTCAACAGACACAGTTACTAATGCACTGATGGAAACAAACCCATGTATAGACAGTAATGTGAAGATACAGAACTCTGGAACAGAGATTTTAACATGACAACATATAAATCTTCAGTTTAATAGTTTTTATTGGCTATAATTAATTTCACAGAACAATAAAAGCTTTTAAAAGTATCAGTATTTAACTAACACTCCCGCAGGCTGCAGGAAGCAGGCTCTACAGCAAATGGAAAGGACAATTGCTAAAGTTTGGCAATCGCTTTAGCGGGCAGGTGTCAGCACCAGTGCCAAAACCAGCAAATCCACCCTCTGCCTGCTGAGCCCTGCCCCTTCTCTACCCTCCTTACCCATGCAACAGCATTGGCATCACTGTGTGATACGCCAGATGGGGGAAATGATTCAGGCAGAAAATTATCTGGCAAACAAAAAGAAAGGTACTCTTCCCAGCCCACGTAACTTAATGTCCCCATCCAGCTCACCAGGCAGCAGCACGTGCACGGACAGCAGGGCAGAAAGCCCAAGGGCAGAGACAGAGCGGGGCTGCTTCTTTCAGTGGCAGTGTCGGCTTAAAACGTTTCTAACCTACAGCCCCAGTGAGCTGAGTACAATTAGCAGTGACCCATGGTTTCTACTGGGTTTTGAAAAGTGCTCGGTTAAGGCAACACATCTTTCTAATAAGCTTGCCATAGTTTCTTGCAGGTTTAAAAAAAAAAACAAAACAAAACAAAAACCAGACACCTACCACTCCTCACAGGGACAGGACCTCATTAACAACTCCTCTTAATCTAAAAGAAGGCCCCTGAATCAAACAGAGCTTTCTTTCTTCATTACTCAATGTTTTAATAATGCAAACAGGCTCTTTGATCACAGCCACTTTGAGGCAGCATTCATGGAACGCAGTTCCCTTTGTAAGATCAAATTTGACACTTCTGACAGCATGAGCAGATTGCTGTTGGTAACATTCCTGTAATAAGGAAACATTTCCAGCACTTACTCACATCTTGTTTTTTCCTAGGTTCCTTATTAGAATTTATTTCCTTTCCATTCTTGCTAAAGGGACATGGCCCACTTAATCCTGCAGCACCCGGTCACGTTCTCCGTGTGCGGGCAGTACATTGTCACTTCCAGTCTGTACTTGGGTGGATCAGTTTGATGAATGTACTAGACAGATTTTTTTTTTAAAAAAAAAAAAGAAGCTTTTCTACTCTTTCAGGCCAGTGTGCCAGTCTTGTACTCAGGTGTCAGTACGACTTCATGCGGATGCAAGGATCCACCTCCGTGGCCCCAGCTATAGGACCCAGCCACAAATCTATACCCAGTGCTAAACTATCAAACACAGAAATCATTCCTACAACCACAGGTGTTTGCAACAAGCAAGGGAAGGACAAGCAAATCAATGCTTAAAGCAAAAAGGGAGGGGAAAATAAAACTTCATCAATGCAGGAAAGGGGGAATCAACAGGAAACAGAAAATATGGAAAAACTGTGTAAACATATACATATATATAAAAAAAAATAAATTCCCACGGCAGAATATATACAAATTTTAACTTACAAACATTCTTGAAATCATAAAGAGATAGCAGCACTGGGGGAAAAGATTTGATCCGTTCTGGCAGCTGGACTCCAAGTTACAAGCAATATCTTTACCACAGTTATTTTGGTTTCAGTGCTTTCTTTTTCAAGCAAGCCAAATTACTACAGTTTATTAAATCTAAGCAAAGCAAAAAGGCACTTGAATTTAAAAAGAAATCAGTCCACATTCTACATCTTATTAATGCAGTAAAGATCAAATGCAGAAATCTGGGAGGCTCTAAAAAGGCACTAAATTTAAAGCAGCAACTTATTTTAAAACCGTTTTCAGGGTTCCATTTTAAACCAAAACTGGTGCTGCAGCAGCACAGATTTTAACCATTTTAACTGCCACGTAAGGTTCTGAAGAGTCCAAGCTAATGCTCAAAGAGCATCACATGGTCATTTCCACTTGGAAGAGCAACTGGATTCACAGAACACCTTCCCATGACTATATGCTGCACGTTCTGAGAGTTGCTTTGGCATCGATGTTCAAATATTCTACAAACAGATCAAGGTTTCAGAATAAGTCACTAACTGGGTAAAGTTCAACTGAAAACAAAGCTCCTGCTTGTGCCCAGTAACAGCAAACAAAATTATGAGCCTCTGTCTCCCACAAGGGAATGCACACCCCCTCACAGGCACGTACAATCAGGCAGGCAGGCAGACGCACACACTAGTAAAAGAAAACAACACTCTTGCCATTTCAGTAAACTACTGCCCTGACACCATTTCAAGGCAGATAAAGCCTTCCAGACCACTCATTGGTTTCAAAATGCATTATCAATTGTTTTCTAATATTTTGCCAGCAAGAGAACAAATGCTGTTGCTGCACTCTTTCAGTGCTGGATGGTCAGAGATGGCCAAAAACCAAATACAATTATATACAGTACAAAAGTTGGCAGATCTTTTTAATATGCTCCACGCTATAATGATTTCTTTTGGACATTTTGAGAAGACCATGAAAGTTATCTGAATGGATAAAGTTATCCAAATGTATTCATTTATTTCTGATAAGGGCAGGGGACGGTGGCTATATCAGATCCAGTGTTCATGCCTAACAGCACAATTTAAAAAGAAAGGAAGACAAGCTTTGATCCCAAGCCACTTCATGCTTTCCACGAAAAAGAAAATAAATTAAATAAAATAAATAAAAGCCAAACCATAACACAAACTTAAATAGCTGTATATCATGCATATTTTTTCCTGCATTGAAAATGGTTTTGGAAACTCATACCTCTCCAGGTGGCTTCTCATTTACAGGCTAATGTATAACATCAACAGATTGAACAAAGAACAACAATTATCATTAACAACATTTATACTGTTGATAATAAAATGTAGACTTCAAAGCAAACATATAAATTCCTGGAAGAACAATTACCACACCTTGTAGCCACATCTCTGAAAGTAGGCCTCCTCTTCTTTTTTAGCTAACTCACTGCGTTTGAAATATTTCTTATTCCCCTGAAAGAAAGGAAAACTATTAACAGTATAGAGTCTTGCAAACTTTGGCAAAAAAAGGTTCAAACTTCCTTACTTGATTTGGTGAATTCACCTACATCCTTTCACACACGTGGCTACATTGTCATGTAAAGGGAACTAGTTGGAAGCATCTCTGAAAATCAGCAATACAGAGTGACTTTACAGCACACATGTATAAGCAGGCTTGAAAGTACAACGTGTTCACCAGCGGTTTTTTTTTAAAAAAAAACGTTCTTTGTCATGTAAGGCCATGGTACTCACTAGTGCAAAGCTTCACTTCAGACACACAGGACAAGGCCCAGGTTGGGATACAATAAAGTCGTTTAAATAAACCATACAAAACACGTTATTTTACATTAAAACAAGGACGTGGGAGAAATCACCTTTGTACAGAGCATTTCGTAAACTTGCTCAGTGCATCTACGTAGAAATGTGTTTGATAAGACCTTGCAGGTACAAAACAGCTGGCAGCTGTGGTCACCCTGAAGCATTTCCCTTGATTGGTACGAACTACTACTTCTTTCTTCATGCTTTGCCTGCCTGACCTGAATCACAGCTCCCTACTTGAGACTGAGGGGGGACCTCGTTAATGTTTATAAATATGAAAAGAGTGACTGCCATGAGGATGAAGCCAGGCTCTTCTCACTGGCATCCAATGATAGGACAAGGGGAAATGGATATAAGCTGGAACATAGGAGGTTCCGCTTAAACATGAGGAAGAACTTCTTCCCAGTAAGGGGAACAGAACACTAGAACAGGCTGCCCAGAGAGGTTGTGGAGTCTCCTTCTCTGGAGATGTTCCAAACCTGCCTGGACGCGTTCTTGTGTGATCTGATCTAGGTGGTTCTGCTCCGGCAGGGGGATTGGACTAGATGATTCTCTGAGGTCCCTTCCAATCCCTAACAGTCTGTGATTCTGTGATACTTCAACCACTAACAGCCAAACCTGAACTCAGACATCCGTGAAAGTGACCTGCTTTACTGCGAGTGGTTTTAAGCTAACACTCTCAGCACACACACACGCTTCTACGACCCTACCACTGCTACGAGCAGAACATGGCAGTGGTGAGGAAAGGGACCCAAACACCATCCACCAAAGGTAGCACAGGTCCTTCTCATCTCCCACTGCCTGAAACAAATAACGAAACCAGCTCCAAAAGGCAAAGGCACGCGGCGAGGACCTGAAGCCAGGCTGCTTCTGTGCCGCCAATCCTCGGGTGCCCCCCAAGCCCAAACTCCTCCTGACTCCCTCCTTGAGCCCGTCGCGGGCCAACCCTGCTCCACTTCCCGAAACCCCTCCCCAGCCGCTCGTGACCTTCCCAAACCTCCTCCTGAGGCGCTCCTGCCCCTCCCAAACCCCACCTGCGGCCCCTC